GTGCTGCCGGTTTCAGAAACGCCGTGGCCGCTGGTTTATATCGCGTGACCTCGAGAATATTTAGCGGTGAGCACACCTAACCAAGAGTCTAATGAGAAAATCATGCATAAGCAAATGTGCAATATGTTGCAACATCATTGATGGTATTTTATACCATGTTATGTTCTGAACAAAACATATACATCATGAGACGATCACGTCAAGAGGCAGGCCAGAAACTGGCGGAAAAATAAGCTGATGAAAAGACCTTGGTAATGCAACAAATATGCAATCAGACACAATGACCGATGATCCAATTAAAAACTACTCAACACGTTGTGTACCACAACTATTTTTTCAGCGACGTCGCGGCCCTGCTCTATCCTGTCCAGGTGGGCACATAGACGCAAGCCGAATCCATTTATTTTGCGGCGGAAGTAAATGTTTTGAAAGGCACAAGATTTATCGGTCTAAACTCACGCTACGGAAAACTGAAACACTTAGCTAAAATGACGCATTGTTAGGGCATATAATCCAAAGGATTGATGGAAGAGTAAAACGTTGGTTAATTTGTGGTGGCCTTACTGTAAATACGTGCAGATGTGCAATCCAATGTTTTCTTGACGGGAGGGGCGGGTTTCTAGTACTGTCGATATACTTCCTAGAGCCCCCTCCCCCCCCCCCCCGCCACCACCCAAAAAGAGCATCCTGCGACCCTAGAAACACCTTGGTTGCGTCTCTACACGCGTGATAATAACTTTTCGGCTATACCCCGTACACTTATTCTCAACTTCGCGTCGCCAAATCCCACATTGGCTGCTGGGACTATTGCCTCTCAAACATATGTTTTCAAGAGACCTGTTGCAATTGACCAGTGCTAACAAATTATATAGGTATGACTCTTTCAACTTTTACGCTTGCCATAAGGCAGCTATGCAAAGACCAAAAAGCAATGCTTTCAACGTCTTTTACTAAAAGTTCCACAAAATTGCGATGCTATATTTACCAGCAGATCACACTTACTTTCGTTCGGCTTCGGAGATCCCATTTCAACAGTCATTTCGTCTGCGGTTCCCGTCCGCGGGGAGGACAGACGCCTCCTCCAGCTCGAACAGATGGACCCCACCCCAGGCGCGAGAGGCAACAGGCACGGACGGACTAACGACGACGCACCGTCGACGTCGACGCTCGCCGACACCGACGCGCGGGGCGCACCGGCGGTGCCGCAGGCAGAGGCGTTGCCAGGCACGAGGCAGGGGAGGGCGCATCACGGGCACAAGCTGCTGTCCGCCCGTGTTTGCCAGGTGACATCTGCTCTGATCCACGGGTCTGTCGGCAGGCCACATGCAAGCGTCATGGCAGATGGTCTGTGATGGCCCGTGTCCTGTGTCTGCGCGTGATGGCCTAGCAGTCCCAGCCGTCACTATGGTACAGCCACAGATCAGCCAAGACGAGTTATACAGATCTTTATGTGGTCGGTAGAGGCACCGTGCAAGTGCAAAGCCACATTTTGCTCGCACATGTATGTTAAGAGGAGCACGAATGACAAGGTTAAGACCAAGATCGTAAAGCTGCCAGCTGAAATGGTGTGTCCGCATCACACATTCATTCACATTCGCGAGTGTATTCCCCACATCACACTCGGGGTATAGCGTCGCATTTTACGCAATGTGCACCTAATGTAGCAGGTACAGACCGCTGCAGGAAGACATCTGTCATGCGTTACAGACATAAAGTATAGATTCCCAATGGGAGAGGAGTCAACTTTCCCTGATGGAATATACTACAATCATGAGGCAGCAATATTCCATTTGCGCAAACAGCTCCGTTTTTGCGGACGGTCTGCTGTCTGCTGTCTGCTGTCTCATTAATTTCCCATCCATGTGATCGAAGACCAAGTTCGGAGGCACGCCCCTGCTCACGTCCGTCACATCCACGCCGTCAGCGAGGTGAGAACACGGGCAGCCAAATGCATCATCCCAACGTGAATGGTCATCGATTCGGGGAGTGTGGCAGGTGACGGCACAGAGGCCGTGTTGATTGAGATGTGTGATGGACACAGCATCTTCGGTCAGATCACAACTGGCATCGGACACCACTTGGGGCGGACAACTGGGATCCTCACCGGTCCTTATGTTTCCGGTTGGGAAATGCTTGGGCTTGGTTCCAAAAGATTGGTTGGGGTTACCAACCTGCTCCGGAGCGCGCTCCAACATCTTCCAGAGCGGGTATCCGTGGAGTTAACTGAGCTGTCTACAGCGATTACGCACTGAAAAACGTCCGATCTCGATCGGGATTCGCCAACCTTTCCCCAACAAGCCAGTCAGAAAGTCCCGAGCTCTCTCCGAGCTGCCTATGGCGGTTGCGCACTGAGCAATGACTTCCCCAAGCAAATCCCATATCTCATGGTTGGAAGGCTCAGTGAAAGCCCAATTTTTCCTAAGCGATGGCCGATAACAGGGCTTGATCGGGAAAAGCTTGGGAAATTCCAAGCATTTCCCAAACCGCTTGGGAAGCCTTGGGGCTTCCCAAGCTTTCCCCAACCGCAGGTGGTCGTAGCTCACCCACACGCTGGCCGCGCGTGGGCGCAGATAGGACACTTGCGGTGCCGCGCGGCCGAGACCGGCCCAATCTGACGATCGATGGCTCAAAGCTGTTTCGGGATCGACCAGCTGGGCGTCACAGCCGTCACAAACAAATCACCGCTGGGCGGAGGTCGGACGGCTAGCGCACAGGGACGCAGCCAGAGCCCAAGCAGAGGGGGGGGGGGGGCGGGGCTCAGGGTCAACAGAGCCCCTGATGGTGGAGCCTCCTCTAAAAGAAAGATATCGCCCATTTGTTAATGAGGGCGTGTTTTTTATTGTTTTTCTTTTCTTTTTGCGTTCTATAACTGGAAGAAAAGCCAGATGCTATGGCGAGATCAATTCTGTAGAGTCGTAATTTTATGGTCAATAAACTGAAGAAATCATACATTGAGCGACTCAATGAAAGAAACGCCCGGTGCTCGCCATTTCACAATGATCCGAAGTGCTATTTCAAAACAGAAAGAAATCAAAAGCTTTGTCAGAATCTTTATATTTGCTGTACAGAAATATTAAGCCTACCGCGAATGTAGATAGAAATAGGTCGATAACTTGAGCTAGCATGGCCAAGCCATGTTTTCCTGGTAATGGCCAACATTCAGGCAGAATTGATCAGTGATATAAATCATGTAACGTAATTTTGATCACGTGCGCTCACAAATCTAAGTAACAAACGTATCAATGCCAGATGTTGCGATCTACACCGACCGTGCAGCGTCCGCCCCGCGACTTGCACTAAGCCGTGGCCGACGGGTGGACGAAAATGATGACGCATATGAAAGAAGCACCTTTGAACGCTTTAGGAAATCAACTCGTATATTGAGAAGGTAGTCCGGGCGCATATTTTACCGGTACGATTTTAAATTGATGATAAGAACAGAGTGGCCTTTACAACACCGCGAGATAGCGCTACACTATGATGGTATAACAGGTAGAGCAGTTGTAGAATTTTTTCGTGTTGTTGTAGCTCTTCATTTCTTCAAAGAACAGTAGCAAAATTGTAGAAAAGGAGATGCCTCGGTCTAATATTTGGACGGTACGAATTGGTTTTTCTGGCGCATTATTTTACGACGGTCGTTCTCGAGCCCAAGCGCCCGCCGCCTGGTGTTCCGTGTTGCGGTCAGCGCCGGGCAGTTTTATGGAAACCGCAACCCGGCCATAGCTGTTCTTGCCCCTGAGATGCAAATGGGCAGGCTCAAAATTTTTGGTGCAGTTTGTTTCACGAATCAGTTCTGCAAAATTGTGAGCGTTCTAGGGAAAACAGAGGTTGGCCTTTCGTTTTTACCTCATCTGGAACCACACTATTAAAACTAATGGGACCCCTTACTTGTTTCGGCACGGGGCACCGTCAGTAGAACACTAGGAGTCAAGGACTGAACGACATTCCATACCCAGGCGGGGACCTTCCGGATGCCATTCTGGCAACACTGCGGCGGGGTTTCCTGGTCGTTCCCGAGACCCCTGGAGGAATACATCATGTCACATTGGTTCCCTCCCTGACACGGAGGTTTTCTGACCCGCGCACTCGGCCCTGGATGAACGCAGGAACACTCATTGACGCAACAGGATTTCAGATGAAACGAGACCTATGTAAATAAATCGTATGAGGTCATTTTGTTAACGTATTTTCCATGAGTTAAGGCCTTTTCCAAACAAATCGCCAAGTCACATCGGTTTCAAATGGGAAATCATTCCTGTGCAGCCAAAACTATTTCACCGAATTTTGTATTTGCCGCACATTTTTTTTCAATTGCGCAATTTAAAATTTTGTATTTTCGACATCCGGCACCCAAATCAAAGTAGACGGAATCCAGGGGGAAAGAAGTTTTTGGCGGCAGTTTAGGCTATTTTTACAGACTCAGCCCCTCCCCCCCCCCCATCAACCGATTTCGGAAAATGATAATCCTGATCCAGCCAGGCGCAATCCAGCACAGATCTGTTGTTGCGACCTGCACACGACAACGCCAAGTGCCAAGCTGAGATCTGCATGAAGGTCAACGGAGGATGTGATGGCATATTCTGCACCTGCCGAGATGTTTTAAAATCCACCCGCATTTATCTGAAAGCGCACTGAAAATCAAAAGTCCTGTATACCTTAGAACTGATTTGAGACGCGGGTTCCACCACAGGCAAAAACAACGATAGTCCTTTTTTGACGGACGCCGACTACCACGATGTTTTATATGCCACATCGCATATGAACTGTTGACGAATGAAGAAGACGGAACTCTGGCCCGTTTCTGAAGCCCTGTCAAACTCATCCACACGAGGACATCGAATTACCCCGCAGGTATAAACATTTACCGGGCATTGATCAAGTGTACATATTTCGAGGCTTGATGCCCTCGCAAACGACACGTTGCCGACACGCCTGTTATTACCCGGACGTTTGCCCAACACCGCACGTTCAATCGAACCACCTCCAGCCGACCAAACAAGATGGCGTCGAACCCAACAGCGGAGACGGACCAGCCGGCCGCGACGACGGGCGACGAGTCGGAGCGCTCCTCGCTCCGCTCGACGCTGACGGCCGAGGTGTCGGCCGCCTCCTCCAAGGCGATGATGAGCAAGGTGGCCGATTACCGGCGCATGTCAGCCGTGCTGGAGACGCTAGCGACGGTCAGCAGCGCCGGGGTTTACCAGAAGGGCGAGGTCGCCGTGTCGGAGCAGCCTTCGGACGAGGCGGGCGCGGCGCCCCCACCGGAGCAACCGGCGAAGACCGGCGGCCACAAGCTCGAGGGGCGGATTCTGGATGGGGCGGGTCCCTTCCGCCGCGCCGCGTACCAGTTCGTCGAGTCACGGTTCTTCTCGACGTTCATCCTGGTAGTGATTCTCCTCAATACCGTCACCCTGATCCTCAAGTGCTTCAAGTACATCAGCATCAACTCGGGCATCTCGATGGTCATCATTGAGAACGTGTTCTTGGGGGTCTACCTGACGGAGGCGACGATGAAGCTGATCGCTTACAAGCACTACTACTTCTACACCTTTTGGAACTGTCTCGATTTCTTCATCATCGTCAACAACTTGGCCGAGTTCGTGCTGCCTCTGCTGTTGGAAACCGGCGACATCGGAGGCATGGGTATCCTCCGACTGTTCCGCATCTTCAAGGCGATCCGCGCCTTGCGCGCGCTACGCGTGCTTCGCACCATCCGCTTCCTCAGCTCACTCAACGTTATTTTGACCACCATGTTCGAGTCCATTCAATCCATCGGCTCCATCGTGGTGCTGATGGTGGTTGTCATGTACATGTTCTCCGTCATGGGTAAGTCGCTGTTCGAGTCCACCGACAAAACTCGCTTCGGTAGTTTGTGGAAGACATTCCTGACGCTCTTCCAGCTGCTCACACTCGACGACTGGTTCTTCATCTACACCGACAACGGCTCGGACACGGCACTCTTCTTCTATCTCTTCTTCTACATCGTGGTCGAGTACTTCGTCTTCCTCAACCTCTTCGTGGCCGTCCTGCTGGACAACTTCCAGCTCACTCTAGAGATCTCCACGCAGGAGCGCAAGCGAGCTCGCCACGCCACGCTCACGAGAGACATGCACGACTCCGACAAGGAGGAGGAGGCTGAGACCGCCGACGGCGAGGCCCAGGGCACGCTGACGCGCAAGCCCGCCTCCGCCTACTACCACGAGCCGCGCGTGGCGGAGCGCATGGAGCGTTACCTGCAGCTGCTGGCCTCGCTGGAGCTGCACCTGTACCAGTACCAGCGGCAACAGGCGCTCATCAACCACCAGGTCGACCTCTGCATGTTCGAGGAGGCGCAGGAGTAGCGGCAGCGTCGGCGAGGTGTCGCTGCGCCGCGCCGGCTCGTCACCTGTCTGCCGTGATGAGTTGCCGAGAGTGCGAGCGCGCGACGAACGTCTCAGTCACTGGCGGGTACCGCGCAGTGCCATCGTCATCTATCGCTCCAAGGAGCTCCTGGTATGACTGTCTGTGTGGGGTTGTGCCTGCATTCTGCAAACAGCTGCAGGACGGCCAGTGAACGCTTGCTTTTGTATTCATCTGGGATCATCCCATTTCTAGGAGTCAGGCAGGACGCCCTGTACTTGCGTCGCTCACCGCGTTCGCAGAGTGCGCATGTATTACTTGCAAAAGCGCCTCATCTTCAGGCCAATAGGAGAATCAGATGCAATTGGCGGACCATGCGGCAACTCGGATGCGATGAACAGCCACTGTCACGATGACCGACAGCGGTACTGTAACCCGCATCGTGCAGCGAATCGACGGTCTAGTGTCGAACACAGCCCGGTATGCATATAGTTGGAGACGGAGCCTACCAGCTTGGTTGGAGCAGCCAGCTCGGGCCATCTGAGGCAGCGTCAGTGGGCTAGTCGGCTGCCCGATGGCAGGGGATGCATTACCTAACATTTCCATTCTGTGGCCATCAGCAACATGGTACTCGACCACACGACATGTCGCCAAAAACCGTCCTTTTTTGGACCTTGAACCCGTCGTTTTTTGGGGCGCGCACTGCACTGAGGGTCCTCTGGTTTCGACCAACCATGCCATGGCTTGCGGCGTTTACCGCCTGGGCGTGAAAAGCGCATCGAGTCCCAGTGGAGTGTTGTGGTCTGCAAGATGTGCTGCCCGCCGTGCTCGCATTTCCAAGGTCACACCACGGATATTCGAGAACTACGTCAGAGGTCGAACGCCACTCTTCGCGCGACGGCTGTATTCACGAGCAGACGCTGATGGATCAATTGCCACACACCGTCGGCGACGAAATCACCGCCCAGCAACAAGTCTCGCAATCGTACATCAAAACAGGATTATGCTGAAGAGAGCTAGCTACCAGCGCACAGGGTCGCGATGCATGAATATCGAAGCACAACGACGGCAATTAGCTGGGGCACGATAGCAGGATCGAATATCGAAGCGAATACGCATATAGCAGGCAGGCTAACCGTGATAGACGCTGGCAGGGAACATTGGCTGGATCAGAGCCATGCTCAGACCAATAAGTCAAAGAATATGATCTTCAGATAGACGGTTTGGCGTGAACGCACCCAACAGGCGGTCGGCGCGTACCGCCCGGCGTTCCCCGACTACACTCCGAACTGTCGCCAAAAAGCATGCCAAACGCACACCTCGGACTACACTCCGAACTGTCGCCAGAAAGCATGCCAAACGCACACCTCGGACTACACTCCGAACTGTCGCCAGAAAGCATGCCAAACGCACACCTCGGACTACACTCCGAACTGTCGCCAGAAAGCATGCCAAACGCACACCTCGGACTACACTCCGAACTGTCGCCAGAGAGCATGCCAAACGCACACGAACGGAAAGCACACGCACCGTAGCCACGGGGCACCGATATTCCTCGCCCGGCGCTCCACGCAGCCGCGGGCTGCGTGGCCGGAATTGGGCCTACCACCGCGCCCCGGTGCGGGCACGCGGCAAGCGGCTTCCTGCAGACAGCGCCATCTTCCGTCCAGCGGTGCGACACACTCAGGTACCTCCATATCACAGTCTTGCCCGCGTCGCGCGCACGCTGCGGCGCGACGCTCTCCGGTCCATCCCCCTCAGCTGGGCTCGCGGCTTCTGGGCCGACGGCTGAGAGCGGTACAATGGCTGCTTCCCACAGTTGGTACATGCCGGACAAGTTGGCAGCGAACGCACAGACCAACGCCCAGCCCCTCAGTCACAAACAGAGCACAGGCTTTTGGGATTTCAGCCGTGTGCACAGTTTTGCAGTCACCGGCAGAAATACCGCTGAAAGGAGCACCCCGTCACAAGTAGCTGCACCGGTTCCATTCACAGTCGCGTAATATCACGAACACCTCCTCGCGGCTGTCAACAGACCAGCCCTACGGAAAGCTACACAGAAATCCAACAAGCAGCGGTCCCACGCGCCCAATAAGCTTCGCCCGCACCAGGACAGTGGGGCACCCGCGCCCACGCACTAACCAATCACAACAAACAGACAACGCACAGGCGGATCACAGCAAAACCACACGCTCCACACCCTCCAGTGTACGCGTCACTCGCATACATACGTCCTCAGCCGCGGTCCGCCCGGCCCTCGCCAGACCGGAGCTAGGCAGGGTCACGGGCTGACCCACAGGCGACGGCGGCATCTGCAGACGTCATCCTAGACGGCCTCCAAAACCGCGGCATTCTCCGTCCCGCGCCTGGCAGCAGCGTCCGACAGCACAGCTCCGTCCCCGAACCGATACCGCGTTTCCCTGTGCCCCAGCGCGAGTCGAGCACGTGGCTAAAGCGGCCCCTCGCAGCAGCCGCAGCAGCGTGTCCGCCAACGTGGGGTGGTGGCGACCGGCTCGTGCTCCTCCCTCGCGGCACTGAGCACGGGTCAACGGGTGCTGACCCGGGGTCTCCAGGTGTCGGCCTGAGGTCGCGGGCGCCGGCCTGAGGTCGCGGGCGCCGGCCTGAGGTCGCGGGCGACGACCTGAGGTCCCGGGCGCCGACCTAGTCACCAGATGCTGACCTGAGGTCGCAGTCGCCGACCTGAAGTGCCGGACACCGACCTGAGGTCATCAAATGCTGACCTGAGATCGCGGGCGCAGACCCGAGGTCACCAGGTGCTGACCCAAGGTCACCAAGTGCTGGCCTGAGGTCAACAAGTGCTGGCCCGAGGTCGCGGGCGCCGACCTGAGGTCGCCGGGGCCGGACCAGAGACGCGCCGCGGGCGGCGGGTCTCAGCTCTTGAAGGCGATGAAGTTCTTGAGCGCCGGCGGCAGCGGCAGCTGGGAGACGCTGCTACCCACCATGTGCTGCAGAATCACCTCGCGGCAGGAGCTCATCAGGGACTGCACTGTGAACGCAGAGCAGGGCGTCAACGGCGGCGGCTTGGTGCCGACGGCGGGGCCAAGGGCCGATGCTGGCCGGGGCCGTTTGCTGTGGTCGGTGGAGCAGCGACGGGACGGAGAGGACGGCTCAAGGCGACCTCTGGGTGTATGGCAGACGAGAAGTGGTCGTTAGCGCACACTGCACAGGGTCTCCGGTTAGCATAACATCGCGTGACTAATTTGGACGGGTTAATCGCACCTTCTACTTAGATGAGCCCATCGCCAAGCCCGGATCGCCTACTGTGCTTCAAATTTTGAGTGAGCGCACGTGTTTCAATGACCTTCTCGCGTATCCGTCGCCCACAATCATCAGCCCCGCTACACGAGCGACTCCGTCTGACCCACCGGCCACCGCCGTCCTTCTCGCCTCCACAAGCTTCCACGACGCTACTCCGCCTAAACCCCACCAGCTCTCAACTCCTCCTCGCCACACCCGACAGCAGCGCCGCTTGCTCCCGCTTACCGCCATACAACTGCACGATCCGGATCTGCTTGGTGGAGCCGTACACGTCCACCACGGCGTACAGCGGGCCGCAGCCAAACGGAATGTCCTTCTGTACGGCGCCTTGGTCATCGCCGTTGACGATCAGGTGCAGGTCGGCCAGCGCGGCGCCGCGGCGCAGCACGTACATGACGCCGAGCCGCGAGCCCACGTCCGTCGGCAGCACGCCGCCGGCGCCGGCCGAGCGCAGCGCCGCGCGCGGCACCGCCTTGAACGCCGTGCGCAGGTAGGCCGACTCGCCGGCGGCGCCGGGCGGCGGGCGCGCGCGCGGCGGCGCCGCCTCGGCCGGCTTGTTGACGGCCACCAGCCACGAGCCGCGCAGGCTGACCAGGTCTGGCAGACCGTACGACGGCAGCGGGAAGCGCCGGTCCGGGTCCAGCTGCGTCAGCCCCAGCCGCAGGTGGCCGCTCCACCCCGGCTCCGTCTGACGGCAGCGCGGTGTCACAGGTCACGCGTCGGGCGCTGGGAGGCCGAGGCGCGCGATGCGACAACAGTGCGATTGACGCTGAAACATTTGCCACGTCAGTGCCGCTGTACACTCCCGAAAAGTACGCTGACAACTTCCTAACGGCGGGCGAATGCATTTGCATTCTGGGCCTCGATGTAGACCAAGCTTCTGATCATCCAGCTCCTTTCTCGTCCATTGAACAAAGGATGCAAGTCACTGTAAAATTGTTGCAGCACCCGTGTTAGCGGCGAAGAGGGGCGACCCGCGACTTTATCGTTCACAATGCAGACTATTCCCTTGACATGAACTACGCGAGGCGTAAGTGTGGACATCGGTGACCTAACGGCCGTTGTCCGAGCTTGCGTCTGCAAATTTCGCCACCAGGGATGATTTTCTTATTTCACAAGGGGTATCTGGTCATCTCTGGCAAATCGTTCAGTCGATATCAAGGAAAAATCCCACACGAACAGGTCAACGCACATAACGACTATGGCTAACTCACGTGCCACGGAATTGCGATGCCAGAAAGCTAAAGAGAACGTGTGAAACTTCCACTGAGGTCCTGCTGGTACTCGTGGCAGGCGGCGTTCGAAGCAACTCCCATTTCCGAATGCAACAAAAAATCCGACAACACTTAGCGCCATGGTGGATAAACCACAAACGTCCAATGAAACCGTCGATTAATAAGGTCCGTGGGAGTCAACCAAGATAAGTGGCAGTCAGCTGAAATTAAAAGGCCAATAAATACAATAAATCTGGTGGGTGGAGGTAAGTGGGAACGGTCGGTGGAGTGTTCCCAGTGATTTCAGGATGCTAATTCAGTCCACACAATTCGGTCAAATATGATGCTGATGATGGTGGCTGTGCCCAATGGGCCCTTGGGCGCCGACCACCTCGGTCCTATGACGCGCATGCGGTCAAACGTGACTTAGTACTGGCGGTCATGCCATGCTAACCCCACACACCAGTTCCGCTTCGCTGGCACCGATTCAGGCCGGCTGCCGGTACCAAGAAAGTGACATAGTGAATCTCACTCACCCTTTCCCAAAGTATACGACGAATGTCGTCCGCCCTTCAACACAGGTGCAGCTATGAGCTGTAAGCTCCCTCCTGTCCTTCTCCGGGCTCAGCGCCTACCCGCGGAGGCAGGTGTTCGTACTCCACGCGGGCGCTCACCTTCCCAATCCTACCCGCGGAGGCAGGTGTTCGTACTCCGCGCAGGCGCTCACCTTCTCAATCCTACCCGCGGAGGCAGGTGTTCGTACTCCACGCGGGCGCTCACCTTCTCAATCCTACCCGCGGAGGCAGGTGTTCGTACTCCGCGCAGGCGCTCACCTTCTCAATCCTACCCGCGGAGGCAGGTGTTCGTACTCCGCGCAGGCGCTCACCTTCTCAATCTCGACGCAGAAGATCTCGCCCGGCATCAGCGCGCGCTGGCTGAAGGTGATGGCGTTGGCGAAGCTGGCCTTGCGGTAGGCGGCCGTGTTGTCGTCGCAGAGGATGATGTTAGAGCCATGGTGGGTGTGGAAGTGGCGCGTGCGCGGCAGCAGCGGCTGCACGTGCGCCGGCCGCAGCTCCGGCAGGCCCATGTCCATCGCTGCTTGCAGAGGCAGGACGGGTACTTCAGCCACGCTGAAAGCCAGACGGGAGTGTCAATTGCCGCCAATGAAATGCACCACATGGATGGCTATGTGCAAGTGGCCGGCTGGTATACAATTGCAAAGCACTCATATTTCAACTATGGAATATATGTTGGCAGGATGTTCTGGGTGGCTTCAGCCCCGCGGCACAAGGGGTACCACTTTTGGACATCACACCTAGACTTGGGTGCATTATTAATGTTAGTTATCAGGACTTAGACTGAAAGTGTCTGATGCAAGACAACTGGGAAATCTTGACTTTTGTGTTTTAGCTGGCTAATTCTGCCAAACTATGGTCTGTGACCAACTAAAAAAACAACAACAACAAAAACAATCAAGATCCCAGGCAGGTACCCCTGGAATGACAACCTTTTAATGCCATAAAACTGATGCACTTTGATGGAGACATCTGTAACATTTTGGGCAAGCTAAAGCATTCTTTGGTGTCCATGGTGAGCTTAGCTCACCATGGGCACCAAAGTGTTGGAAAAATTGGCATTTCCTGGTATAATGTATACCAGGAGATTTTGTACTCCAGGATTATGACTAGGTAAAATGAGATATTTTGTACTCTATCATGATGCAACAAAACAGCTTTTGGAAAACTCATTTTACCTCTTTGTGTTAGGATAAAATAAAACCAGAACGTGCAACAGCTTGAGACTTGCTGCTTCCATCGGGAGCCGTGTATTGATATCTGCAAGAGCACAAATCTTACATCCCACCAGACTAAGATGCCCAATAGCAATCAGCCTGTGTTGCCACCTAGGTATATCATAAACCATGCATGGAAATGTGAAAAATAAAGCGTGTGAATGTTGATTGGAGTCGCCTTTGAACAATACCGGGAAATGAGAAACAAGTACCAGAATCGCACCGGTCTGTAGATTAGCAAAGCTCTCACTTCCTGTGCCTCACGCAGACCAACTCAAACTTGAACATGACTTAACCTACATTGACGACGAACCGCATTAATTGCCAAGGATGCAACAAACATTCAAAGAAAACCGCACGCACAATCACCTACCGCAGACGGCCGCCTACCCACGCGCCACCACTGTGTCATGTCATTGCAAATAAGAGAATCACTCGTAATTCAGCGTCGAAAACGTCTCAACTATTCAGCGGCTTGCGCCCGCCTCCCATCTCAGGTTGGAGGCTGAACATAGCAAAACTCTCCAATTGGTTTTAATGATTCACCTACTCGTGACTAATTTGTCAAGAGCATAAATATTCTGCTCCCGCTCATGTCTTGAACAGATTTGCAAACATTAGGAGGGAAGTTGTCTAGAAATGAGCATCACGATTATAAAGGACTTACTTGTGCTCATCCAGAACCGCCATGTGGTTGGATTTTTGGCCACTTCCTGATATCCGGAGTACAAAGAATGTTACGGCAGCTGCGAATTTAAACTAAGTTAAATTTCTTGCTTAACGGTGTGAAATTAAAGCTGATAATTCAGGCCTAACAAAATACCCTTTTAAGTAGAAAAATGTCGCTATAAATAGCCAAAAAACTGTTCGGAGACAACCATCTCGCTCCGGCAAAAATACCAGGACACCAGAGTAACATGACCCCATAACTTTGGCCCGGCAAATTAAGGAGAGGTGTTTGTTAGGACAAAAACATCGATTAACTGCAACATAAATCATCATATTTCGCAATGATATCGGTTAAAGCGCTTCAAAATTCATAAATACTTTGCATTATCCGCCGGAGTAAGCGGAGTGACTGACTCCGATCCCTTTTGGCTGGCCTACATGGGTCTGTCAGGCATCGCACTTGCGCTGGCTCGGTAAGTCGATTAAGAGTGCTGCCTGTCTCTGTTGTTAGGGTGGGACGTGCAGGGCCTCGTGTGTTGACCGGGAGTGGGAAGGTGGAGGGCGTGAATGTTTAGCCACTTTTAAAACCAGTTAGCTGGTGGAGCGTGAGTAGCATGACCGTGGTGGAGCGTGAGTAGGTGGCCATCTGTGGCATGTTCATTTGCATTTTTTGTGTACCATTTTGTCTGGCTATGCATATTGTACCCACCCTCCGTTTTGGAGGGTGTATAAGTCCAGTGTGTAGCCAGCCTCCATTTTAGAGTGTATAACCCCGCTGCATAATTACCCTCTGCTTTGGAGGGTGTCTACACAGAGCCTTTCATAAATTGCAAACCAACATATATGCACATGTGTTTCATAGTACAGAGGATGAGACTGTGTAATTTCAGTGTGCCATGTTTAATACTGATGCTTTCTTTCATTTAAGTGTTTTTTCATGAATCATTGTATATACAAAGTGGCACTTTTGTTGAGTGCCACCCATTGTACTATAATCTGTCAAAGATAACCTGAATAAAGCTATAGTGAACCACAGCATTTTGATAATGTTGTACTCCACTATAGAAAATTTGTGCTCTGCTACCATAATTTTTTTTTTTGAATTTCCAACACTGGTGCTATGAAAGCAATATTTTTGAGACATTATACAAAAAGAGTAATTCTCACATGCCCAAATGGTGTTAACTTTGATGGGGAAGGTGAGCTCTAATGCTTCTTTTGCCCTTCACACAAGAACCACCCTCTCACATTACTGTAGGTGCTGGTGGCATGAACATATCTTGCCATTTGGCCACAAGCTAGGTTAAAATCAAACATAAAGATTAATCAGATGCCTGGTGTCAAAGCAAAGCAGAGACACACTGCTTGATCCTTCCCCATAAAGTGATGACCCTCTGTGTTAGGTTTGGCTATATGATTCAGTCTGTATAAGTGTTATGTCCACTCAACATTCATTCTCAATTGACAGCCCACAATATGGTGTTAGTAGTATACATGATGCTGCAGGCCTTAGCTGCAGGCCTCTTCAATCATCATAGGGCTAAAGCTACATACTTAGCACACAATATCATTAAAACAGCCAGCCATACCAGCCACAACAGGCAATGCATGTACAAGGATCATACATAATAGCCAAAGGGTGCCTACATTTCAGCCAAAAAATACATGTTGTCTTCTAGCCCTTCAGGTATTCTCAGGAAGACCAAGAGAGATGGTCATGCAAGGTCAGGCCTTCTGGCACTTTCCAAGGTTTGAGACATTAGAAACTTAAACTGTCACCATCAAATGACCAAAACAACCACCAAAAAGTGCATAGTGAGCTGATGTATCTGAAATTAATGTGTTCCAAATGTTTTATAGCAAAACACCACAAAAAGGCCTAAGCACACTGAATAGCTTGAAAACTCAGCACAATGTGACCTAACTGAGTTCAGTAGCACATGCAAGCATGAGGTTAAGCATGATGACATTGCATGGATATCTGTCACAGTGGTTCAATTTTTGACACACGGATAGGTACATGTACGGAATTCTAAATTTTCTTCAATAAACCAAGCAGCCTCAAAGCTGACACTTCCTTTCTGATGCTTGGCTATGTGTTTGCAGATAATGAAGCATGGTTATACTTTTGTTTTTATTCACGCTTTTCACATACCTCACAAGTCACAGCTCAATGTGCATAACATATATGCAGTTCACAAACCTGTCACGGGCAAGTGCCGCTGGAAACGGTTTGGGACGGCGAGTGCAGCGAAAAATCGACGAACAATAGGCAAGGCTCCAGCATGATACGCAGGTAACCGTGCCAGACAAGCGCAGCAGCGCCTGATCGCCGGCGTGGTACCAGTTTCTTGCCTACGACGGTGTCTGGTCGTTTCTTTGATAAACAGCTTCACACAGGTAACTAGCTTTTCACCGCACACTTACCGTCGTTGCTTATCTGTTTCTATTCAAAACCGTCCCATGATCGCCCGCAGATAGCCTAGACCAAGGCCACCCAGAACGCACAACTCCGTTCTAGGGCCTCGCACACAACCACGTCGAGCAAAACATTGCGAAACTGACGCATGAGGAAATTAAGGATGCCAAAAATAAGTAGCTTGTCTAAAGTACAGCTACTTTTTCTTCTGACATCGGAGTGCTCGGTCAAGGCAGGATTCGTTACAATATATGATTTGAGCACGTTGCATTTCTTAAACCAGCTTAATCCAAAATTGTCAGCGCATTCCAAGGCTTGGATGTAGCTGAATAATTCCAAACCAGACCCAACAAGAATATCCCAGGTCCTGTGCCCGCCAAGGTACTTTCAATTCTGAATTTTCTGACAGCAAACAGAGAATAGGGATGCCGAGACGCACCTGTTCAGTTCTTTTATTCATGGCAAGTAAAACAAAACGACGGAAATATCGCCTGTTTTGCGCTTCTTCCTTTGCTCCAGTGCTGTACAACAAGTCACATTCATATGGTTGTTTTCTTAGTCATCATCACTGTATACACATAGCCCCCCCCCCCCTCGTTCTATGTGATGCCCATCTGCTTGGTGGTGCAACAGCTATAGCATGCGATTTCTCCTTGACACTTGCATTAGTCTGTACGCCAAAGACCTGCGCTGTTACTATCGCAGCTGTAGCAAGCAAAGCTGCATGTATAGGTTTTAGTGGCGCAGCAGTAGGTCTCTTTATCCAGGAGCGTTTTGGGAGTGATTGCTGCTGTTGAGACGGCCGGTGCAATGGAAGAGGCTTCGACGCCTCAACTGACGCCGGCAATATCTCTTTCTTCTCTTCTTTCGCAGGGGGGAGGGGGAGGGGCACAAGAAAGCTTCTTCGGGGGAGCTAGGAGGGTTGTGGGCCAGCCGAGTCTCCAAACTTTTAGCCAGGTCCTCTGCGGTCCCAGGAACTGGCCAAACGACGTGGTATAGCATCGGAACGAGGTCATCTGATGTCTGATCTGTTGGTACTGGGATCTCGCTATCCGAACGTCACTAGACCTGCGCGTCCGCCAGTAGCTCCTTCCTGGCACGCTGAGGGAGGTGTTCCATCTTTCTCACATGTGAGCTCAGTTAGCAAGCATCATTGTGTTGACATGACACGAAGAATACGGCAGCATTGCCTGGAAGCAGTGCTGCTAAAGGAAGCGTTCCACCCTTTGCGCAGCAGCATGAGCGCCAGTAGTGTGAGCTTGGAGAGGCATTTCACTCGCATGCCTCTGTCCAGGTGTTCTTTCGCTGTCTCCAGGTAGTCCTTCAGCTCCTGGTATGTCCTGGCGCCTTTCGAGCACAAACTCTGCAGCAGCACGGCGATAGCGAGGTGCCCCCTCCGCAACTCACCCACCAGGCTATGCAGCTGCAGCGCTGCAAGGGGCTTTTCGTCTCAACGCTCCTCAGCTCATGACAAAGGCCCTTTCCACTGAAGAGTCACGGCTTTCAATTTGCTACCATTAGAGCCAGTCAACAATGAAACGCGACATGACTGTCGGAAGTCCACAAGACTGACAAGCCGACCGAGTGGACGGGCTTCAGTACTCAGCGAGAACGGCTGGTGGCGGACTCCGCCCTGAAGCCCAAAACACTGATGCTGGTCGGGCGGATGGAAGAAACTAAACAGCTACTGATCGAGAGTGCAAAAGCGACGGGTGCGAAAGGTTTTGATCTTTGGCAAAACATCCCATGCAATACCATGTGCCAAGACCGAGTGACGCTCACGCTGCGCAAACTGGGATAGCTCAAAGTCGACAAACTTGTGTGTGAATGCGATATTTTAGTCATGCTCAACATCCTCAAAACCACCCGCGAGCCTTACATGCTACGAGAGCATGCTGGACGCCGTTCTGACTGTGTCCGTTTGTGCCACTCGAGTAAAGGCCGTCGAACACCTGCAGCTGCAGCGTGTACGCACTGAGTTTTGGCGCCGCTCGTTCATACTTCACATATCTAGCGTCTGGAACTTGCCACCTGTAAACGTGCGGGTATCAGTGGCCGCGACCTACGCTACCGTAAGGGCAATCTTCACCTTCTGTTTGTCAGGAAGATGTTCACATGTTGCTGTGTGCTGTGCCGCATTCATCTGCGCTGTCTGTTTTTTCTTTTGTAACTTGAGTTTGTGAATTGATGTGGAAGCTAGAAATCCACTTTGTAAAAGGTCATAAATGCTTGTCTTACGGATATATATATATATATATATATATATATATATATATATATCACAGCGGCGTCCTATACGCTTTCGCAGCATCTCTGGCTCGTCGGTGGCTGTGAAGATATGAAACATGACTATAATATCGCCTTCATATACAAGTCCATCGACTTGATCCACCCAAGTTTGCGTAACGTGGGTATCTCGGTCTTGGCATATACATATATATATATATATATATATATATATATATATATATATATATATATATGTGTGTGTGTGTGTGTGTGTGTGTGTATCCATACACATTTAGCTATATATTTAAGTAGGACAGCAACCCGGGTATAAACGGGCGAATCCCGGTAAGTTTTTTGGCTTAGACCCTTATGACGACTTCCACGACTCTGGACCCCGAACCGTTTTGAGAGATTGACACCCATGGTCTAAATTAACCTCGAAAACAATCAGCCATTGAAGGGGCGGAATGTGTATGACGTTTCTATGACGTCATAAACTTTTGAGGGATTTCAAAACACGCGGCTCGAAAAAATTTGCACAAGTCCATCTGCACTTAGTTCGGAAACGAAAGGACTTGGACGAAAGGGAGTGTCTCAGCTTTGAGGCGTGTTTCATATATATATACCCTGGTGGAGGCTCAATACTTTTTACGCATAATAAAAGCAGCACCATCAAACTTAAATAATGATACAAATTATTATCATTTTCGAGTCAAATTTACACAGTCAACGCTTCGTAACAACACCACATGTTTTCCTTTCTTGGTAGCCACAGGGTGTATCCAGAGTCCGCGACAACTGCAGTCGTCGCGACCAGCGTCGTCATGACGATGGCAGAATCTGCTGAGGACCGCTGTCAGTTGTAAGGGCTAGAGATGCCATTTTTGAGCCGTTTTAACCCGGACATTGTGGGCCTGCGGGTTTAAAAGTGGTACCTCTACTGGTACGAATGACGGCGGTGCAAACGCACATTTGTGATTGACATAGGGGTGGCAAGAGCCAGTTGCCGAGAAGCGCATGGGTTGAAGTTTGGGCCATTGCGTTACCATACACTATGCGATGCTCTGTTTCCCCAAGTCAAAGTGCGCTTGATTAAGAGCCACTGTGCTGAAAGTCGTTGGGTTCGGAATTGGGTGGAGCCGTACGGTGCACCGCATGTACCTGCGCTTGTCCGTCTTATCGTTTGTGTCTATTGCATGTACGCTGATGTGGGAGCTAGAAAATTCACTCCGTGAAAGCTCCTAAATATATATCGATGGAAGAAAGGATGCAAACATATTTCACCGGAGCGGACTTGCACGATCGGATGGTAGGGGTCAGGGCTTACACAACAAGCAATGCTTAGCGTAAGCTATAATCCCAGAAACATATCCATTCAAAAACGTTCGGATTAAATCTTACAAAGTAAAGACCAAAGCCTTAGTAGCAGTGTCCCGTTGAATTTGGGGCATAAGAACCTGATGGTTGCACATATTTCTCTCTGAAAACATTATTTCCAGCTTTCGCGATATTCTTTACACAAACATTTTTGACAATAAATGCGCTTACAGCATCACAAAATATATACTTTGGAAAAAGCAAGGCGAAAGAAGCGTATTACTCTTATTCTGGTGGACAGGCCGTCGATTGAGATTTCTCCCGCGGAAACGGCTGCTTCAAATCAAAATTATACGGCGTTCAAAATTGGAGCGAGAAAACCGGTGCCACCGACCAAACAAGAAATGAAAAGCACAAAAATGTGGCGTATCTCCTTTAAAAAGGGCATAACTGTGAACTGCCGGATATTGTTTCAAAAATGGCCATATCGGCATAAAGCCCCATGCAAATGCCGAACTTTGCCTTCACAAACCAGTTTCACGCAGCATCAAGATGGTTTCAAAATGCAAATCACTATTTGAAAGGTAAGAAATGTTGACGTGTCTGCGTCTTTTTCGTTCAACTCTTTGAAAAAAGCACGGGGAGTTTGGCCAGGGTTGAACAGAATACGGCTTCCGCCAGCTTCCGGTGAGGCTGGCTGTTGTGCCGGCTCCGGCGAAGCCGGCCGCGCGCTGTCTTCGGCGAAGCCAGCCGCTGCGCTGTCTGTGGTTGCGTCAGCAACTGCGCTTCACCCCGACAAAAAGAGTGACAGCACGTAATTATATCTCGGGCGGCACTTTTGGCTCAGGCGTATCTTCTTGCGCTACAGACTTGTCGCTCCTGTGGCCCCTTGCGTCCATCATTCAGAAGTTAGATTATTGACAATGTACACATTTTTCCCTAGTCAACCACCCGAGCAAGTAAAAATTGTGTCACGGTTTGCAATTAGTTGTGTGATGGAAACGTCCATATGCCTTTCTGGGTTTTAACTGAGTTTTTGTCACGCGCCGCCACTGGTTGCCGCAATAACTATTTATGGGGAGCAGACATCGCGGTTGTGTGCACAGACGTCGAATGAGATGCTGTGTAAAGGTGCGGCGTGCAAATGAACATACAGCTACTCCACATTTTTCTCGAATTACGTGGCTAGTCGGTGGCGCTTGTTCCAGGAAAACTTCTTTATAAGTAGACGATGTAACTTACCTTCTATAGGTTTTAGATGCCAAAAAGGCGTGCGTTGACATTCGTGGCACAGCAAAGCACTTCATGTACCAGGTGAGCTGCAATCGACCGCTCGCCTACAAAATCCTGACGGTCAGGGCGATGATCAGCTCCGCTCAGAAAGACCCCTTTGGTTATCTTGAGATGATATCGTATTGACGTAGTAAGTAAATTTTGACATAGCGCCGCACCGCCTGGCGAGAAACTGATACTTATTCAAAAGTTATGCTGTTCGAAATGGCTGTTTACATCGGTTCTGAAAAACACTCGCCGTGGTGACCTTATGCTTTGTGCGATT